CGAAAATGTTAACAGGTCACCTTTTTTCCTCCACCAGCTCCCATTCCTTCCACTAACATCACTGGGAAAGTATTACATTATGTCATTCCAAGAGAAGTAACTCAATCAAGAAATGACCATTGATTTAAATATGATAACCTATAAATAAAAAGAGGGGGAGAAATCTGTACCACTTTTCAAAGCTTTTCTCTGCAACCCCCCAGCTGATTTTTTTCCATATTATGTACAATTCTTCAAAATCCTACATCTCCATATAATTACTTTCTGTTTCATTTTTCAAGGAATTGCTCCTTATTTAGAATTATAAGTAATATTTCATCAAAGCTGTATACGTGTGTCTGTGCTCACAGGTTGTGAACCTAGCACACATGACAAAAGAGCACACACACAAAATTAAATATGTTAAGAAACTTTATTAATTTAATTTTAGTTTTAAATTCATTTAAGAAAATATAAAAGCAGCACCAGAAACTGAACAATCTGCATCTATCAAGTTCTTATGTGCAACAGCCTAACTTACATAGCAGAAGAACTTCCCTCAGGCTTCCCCTATTCTCTTTCTGTAACTAGAGCTGTCTTTCGGTCCTCCACCTTCCCATTGGCTGGATCCTTCCTATCAATAGTCACTGACTCCTGGGTTCTTCCTACATGGGATGAGGGATGGAACATCATCAGAAAGGGGATTGGCTTGGAGTTCTGCTAGTCAAACCAGAAACAGGCAGGGCAGGCTCACTCACAGGGGACAGGGGAGGATTGAGAACTGCCACTGAGATTATTTTAGTACAGTAATTCTTTTTTTTTTTAATAAAAGTAATTTTAAAGAAGAAACGTAAAAATATCTGTCCCCAAAATGACACTCTCAATACGTTTAAAGTACAAGTCAATAGTGATCTGATTTAAATTTAAATGACTGGATGAATTTCTAGAAATGGCTATACCAAATTTCCAAAGCTTGATACATATTGAACTATATGAAGTATTCACATGTGATGAAGAACACAAAGCCGCTGAGATGCCAAAATTCTTGGAAATATTTTTTACAGGAAAAATATTCAAGAATGCATGATATCTTGATTTCTTATAGCCTCATCTGTTATATACATCTCACATAGATAGTATACAAAGTCTTAATAAATAAATAAAAGGAAGATTGCTTGTCACACTACTTGAAAGTCCAGCCAAAAAGAAAGTAAATTAACCTTGAATGCAAGCATTTAACTCCAGAAGAAATCTAGGTTTTTGTTGTGTTTTGTTGGTTATGTATATGTTGGCTATTGAAATTAATAGTTAAGAGTTTACATCCAGCATATTAATGTCAAATGGAAAAGTATATGCACATACCAGAGAGATGAAGAAATAAGAAATACTTTTGAATTTCTAGAAATTATCAGCAGCATTGTACAGAATGGTATCATGGATGAAATAGCATTGCCAACATTTCATATTCTAGGTCTTGGTAAAAACACAAAGATTTCCATCAATAAATACTTGAAACTCTATTTTAAATTGAGATCCATATATTCTTCAAATTATAAAACCTTATGTGGAAGAATATTACAGTTTCAAGTCTGTGATGCTATAGCAATAATCTCTGAACTCAAATAGTTTTATTAAAAATAGTATGATCTAATGAAAATGGTGATGGTGCCATCATGATGTTGGGAAGACTCAGTGGTGTAGCAATATAGATGAAAAATGATATTCCACCCTTAGTTCAGCAACATGGCATTACATACCATAAAGACTTGGAAATTTCTGATGCAAGGAAAGAAGTCAAACTGAAACTTTAATAAAAACTGTTTACATAGTGTTCGGTTAGTCTTTCACATACAGAAAAAATTCAAATTTCAAGGAATAGTGAATGCTTCTGAATGTCACTCAGTAATTCTTCAAGGATTCAGCTTTGTGAAGTCATAAAATTAAGTCTCTTCTAGATAGGAGCTCTTAAGAAAATAATCAAATAGACAGCAATTCTACAATTACCTTCAGAAACTTCCTATGTGCTCAACTAGCACACAGGTTTCCAGAGAATGAGGTGCAGAAATACTCTGTGTTTGACTGTGTAGCAATGCCACAGTGTGATTTCAGGTTTTGGAATGCTGGTCAATTGCTCCAAATATGAAGATTTTCTTTTGAAAATACTGCTAAAGTTGATCAGAATAATTACTTCAGATATTCAGTAGGGAAGGGAAAAAAAAAGTAAAGGCATTTTGTCCAGATATTGTGACATTTGAACATTACAATGAATAGCTTCAGTACCTGGCAAACTTGATAGATACTAGAGGACCACTCCTTAGTGTCCCCTGCAGACTATGAGCATGATTTTAGCTTAATAATATTCTAAAAATCAAATTATAGAGTTGTTTACAACTAGATAATTTGGACATGCTAATGCATGTTAAGAATTTTCAGCTTTATGGATATCTACACAGCATTAATTCTGCGTGGATACTAGAGGCCCAAAGCCGAAAACCACAGGGGAAAAGTGTAGGATATATTATACCTTTTTCTCTATAGATTTTGACTCACTAGAGTTAGCCCTACTAAATGGGTTGTATAACAGACTAACAGACTGGAATATACCTAGTGTACTTTACTGTAGTTTCATGTGTATTTATTAACATGTTGTAAAATGATTTTCATTATGGACATATTTAAACTCTGGTTAAAAAAATTCACAAAAGAAATGTGTTGTACACACATTATTGTACACACACCATACCAAAAATTGGAGGGTACATTTATTTATGTAGTTTATAGGCCACCCAACTCATAAATTACTCTGGGCAACAAGTTTACAAGAAAAGGAAAAGGGGAAGGGGAAAGAGGAGCAGCAGCAGCAGCAGCAGCATAACCATAACCAACATATTAATAAAGTTCCCACAAAGGCACATACTTCCTAACCCAGTTCCTGGGGAAAGAACCAGATCTTCAAGACTGGTTTAAAGGACAGTAGGGATAGGACAACTGAAACCATCAAAGAAAGGCTGTTCCAGAGGATTGCTGCCACAACAGAGAAGGCATACTGTCTGGGTCCCATCAACTGACACTGTCTTGAAGATGGCACCTGGAACATGCCCATTATGTCAGATCTTACTGGATGAGAAGAAACAATGGGAGCAAAGACAATCCTTCAGATAACCAGAACCCACACCATGAAGAGTTTTATAGGTTGCAACCAGTAACTTGAACTACACTCAGAAGTTTATTACTAACTAGTGCAGCTCACATAGTAGAGTTACATGGGCATGCTGCATTTTGGATTAGCTGCAGCTTCCAAGTGGTCTTGCAGAGCACTTTACAATAATCCACACACAAAGTGACTAAGGAGTAAATGACTGTAAGAAGAAATTCCTGGCCCAAGAAAGGGGATAACTGGTACAAAGCTGTATCTGGCCACAGGTGGCACCTGCTCTTCAAGCTGCAAGTCCAGGAAGACCACCAAATTAAACTCCAGTTCTGCTGAGGAAGTGTAACTCCATTCAGAGCTAAAGAGAGAAAATCCATGGAACAACTTAAATTTAACCTACAAACTATAAAAACTGTTTCAGATT